ATACTCTAGCTTCATTACTCTCAACTCCCTTTCATTTATCACACACTAATTTATCGTCTGTGCCTGATATAACTTACCCCAATGGTCATACTCCTATTTATCATTGTCTTTCTTTGGATGTATTTAAACTTTAAAGCCAACTTAACAAGACTTCGAAAACGTGGCCTCTTTTACCTTTCGCAACTCTTGACACCTCAATGAACACATTTGCTCTCTTGGTCCGTCATATATGCTAATTCTGTTCAAAAGTGAGGTAACGCCCATCTTCCCAATTGGTACAAAAATCTCTCTGCTAATGTCACGATTCCAGACAAACCTGGTTTGTTAAAAGACCGATTTATGATTGAACAATGACCTGTGAGCCTGATTGCAAAAGAACTTGCTCCTTGCATTCCTCCTTCTGGTTATAAAAAGAATTGGATTGTCACGATAAATGATGATGGCCTTCCCTCATTTGGTAAACAGATCCAGATCCAACCCAAACGCTCCACTTGTACTATTGTACATTGGACTTCAGACTGCTTATCTCGTCTGAGCGATTTTATTACTCTACGACCTTGTCCTGGCTGCGATTTAAATATAAATAAATCTTCCTATTCAAAGAAATCAGTTGCTACTGATTCTGTTTCTTGCTCCTATTCGGCCTATTTTCGACAATCATGGATCTTACCTATGAAGAAATCATCCATTTTGAATCACACATCCAGCTTGACTGCTACGGTGTCGTGGGCGGAAATCATGGACTTTGTTACTTCGTCTTGTAATTCTTCAGTTCGCTCGATGCTCGCTGCTGATATTCCCCCTGCTTCCTTTGTTACTGTTGACCAGGTTTTGCTTACTCCACATTTACTTACGGCTGGTGATGTTGCTGCATCATCATCGGTCGTGCTTTCTCCAGACTCACAATATACCTTTTACACTGATGGTTCTCTTATCAATTTAGGAACTAGTGATGTTTCTATGGGATGGGGCTGGGTTCAAATTGTCAAAGATTCTGGCTTTCTTAATTCCATTGCCACTTATAAGCGGGGTATTATTCACGATTGGCCTTCTTCTTCTCGTGCTGAAGCTGCTGCTATTTATGCTGCCTTATCAGCCTCTCCTGTCAATTCTGTTGTTCATATTTATACAGATTCACAATCTTCCATCGAGGGTTTGAAACATTGTCTCTTATCTGATTATTCAGATTCTCGTCTTTATTATAAGACTACCAATTTTGAACTTTGGGCCATCATTCAACAACTGATTGTGGATAAACAACTTTCAGTCTTACCCTTTAAGGTTAAAGCTCACTCTAATTTTTATTGGAATGACTTCGCTGACTCTCTTGCCAATACTGCCCATACATCTGACGATGCTATTCTTATCTCCCGTCTCGATCTTGCCGCAGTTCATGATTATATTATGTCTTATGATGACATGGTCTGTGAATCCAACCCAAGACATCTGTTTAAACAATATCATCAGATGTTGTATATGAAAGACCTTTTAGCTCTTTCTCGCTTCTGTTTTATTTCTCTTTTAACAGATCCATCCCAATACGTGGTTGACTGGGCTCTTACCTGGCATACGTTAATGTTCCAACCCAAATTTGATAATTCCTTCACTAAGGAAAATGTCTCTAGACATCACACGTTGAAATTTCAACTTTTTCTGGAAGACTTACCTACTTTGGAATCGTTGAAAAGAACACAACCTGATTTATACGTAGAGATTCTAACCTGTCGTTCTTGTGAAGACCACTTAGAAGATTTTATGCACTTATTTTTATGCAAAAAGCGCCACGTTAAATTACACCAAATTTTAACGTCATATCTCCATTACCTTATCCAAAAAATTAAAGAAGCGGGTGATAATGCCAATTGTGATTACTCTTCTTCAATTAATAGAGTTACTTCCCTCCCTTGCTGGACTTTTTCATCAAACAACTGGTCTTCCTATAGTCTTGTCCGTGGCTGTTTGCCTACCGCCTTTTTGGAAGTTTTTGAATCCTTAGGTATTCCTCGCCTCTCTGCTATGAATGTGGTTGCTGCCATACATAACAATTTTGTCAACAAATTCCGTAAACGAATTTGGAATCCGCGTTCGTATGATAAAGGATTATGGGAACATACGATGAACATTTCTCCAAAACTTAAACAATCCTCAAGGCCTAAAGGTTTGCCCAAATCTTCTTATTTACCTTACTCGTCTTTACCACCTCCAACCCATGTTGATTCACGTGACTTCAGAACCGATTGGTTAAAAAACTCGATGCAATATGGATTATCTTGGTTTAATCACATTTCGGGTTTTATGGGTCGTCTAACGGTGCTACTTAATAACCGCTTTTGCAGGATGGAGCGTCGATTTTAATAGTAAGCACGTCATCCGTTATTTTGTTAGCATAGTTGCTTCTACTTTGGTTGGAATATATCAAGGAGGGAGATCTAGGAAGTGTTAGTATTAGCGAATTTTCTTTTGAACTTTCTTTTAATTTTAATTTCTTTCTAGGAGACTATATAGCTTTGTTTTTAGTTAGTTTTTATTCTATTTTCTTTTCTTTTTCTTATATGTAAATTTGTAAAAGTTTGATAAATAATTAATAAAGATAAAGGCTACTATGCCATGTTTGCCCGAAAGTATGACTTGGGATTTTTCGATCTTTAAATGTAGCGGGAGGTCTCACTGTGTACGTATAGCATAGTCAATTCTACCGGGTTTGAGATATAATACGGAGGATAGCTGTAGTAATTTATATAGAAAGGGTGTTGGGTTTATAATCTTGCATTTCTTTTTATATATTTTTTTTTCAGAAGATTATTTGTTCTTGTATTAGTTAGTTCTGCACTTTGTTGTGCTTCTTTCTTGAATACCTGGTATTCTCTAAAGTTACTTACGGCAAAAATTAATAAAATTCAAGCACAAGCTTTGTTAAACCAAAAGTGTGACTTATGACCTGTATTAGAGAATTCCGGGGTCCTATTTTATTATAAATAGTATTAGGATTTTATCAAATTAAAGTTTACAGATAATTTAAGAATTGTATTGTAATTTTCAAGTTATATGAAAAGAGTATTATTTCCAGTAATATAATTCAAGATAGTTAATTTTGCAATCAAGAGATTATCTATATTTTTTGTCATATCTAAAATCTTACATTATTTTAATAAAAACCTATTTTCTTTAATAGAACATCTAATGTCATTTCATGTAATCAACTTAAGACTCTCCTATTAAATTAAACTCCAGTTAACCTGTTAAAGTGTTAAAGTTTTTCAGTTAGTTTTAATCATTGACAGGATAACAGTATATTAAGATTAATAATGTAATAGTAATTATAATTAATTTGTAATTATAAAAAAGTAAATTTATATTATATAAATCCATTTTGAAAAAATAAATACTTATTAAGAATTATTTGTGATTATATAAAAAGTAAACATATGAAGGTTTGATTGTAATATATTTTTGCTAATTATTATTATTTTTTTTTTTTAATTGCAATGCACTTGATAGTTTATTAAAATAATTGTTAAAGTATGATACAAAAGTAAAACTCTAAACTATAATCTAATATTATGAACTACCAAACTACTCGTCATACTGAAAAGCACCCACATGTACACTGTCAAATGATACGTTCTGCTCAGAAAGTAAGAAATATTTGTAATATCCTATCTTAGCAAAAATGCCTCTCTTTCTTCACAGGGTGATCACAGGACCCACTACATTACAAGTAAAAAAAAAAAAAAAGAAAAAAATAACAATTTTTAAGAATTCTGCAAAGTCAAAGAAATTAACAAATCCAGATCGTTCCTTTTCCCATAAATCAACTAGCTACGGGGTTGAGCAATTCCATCTAACTAAGTCATAGGATCCTGCGACCACAAAGTAATAATCAAGGACCAACTTGCTGTAAATAGTAGAATCTGTATACTTATTGGATATTGCTAGTTGAGAATGGATGAGACCCCATTTGCAGAAGGAAGTTTGAAAATCGTAATGAGATAAGGTATCTACTATCAGATGTCCAGACACACTAAGGTTGCTTGTCTAAACCTCTTCAAAATCCTACGATTAGTTTCGTCAAAATTTTACTATAGATTTATTATAGTTTCGGCAGAGTTTCGGCAGTTTCAGCATTTATAATAAATTTCGGCAGTTTCACCTTTCTCCAAAGTTTCGCCAGTTTTTTAATATAATTTTAATATAGTTTCGGCAAAATTTTGCTTTTCGGCGAAACGCCATCTTGCCTAAACCCCTAGGTTTCGGCAAGCAACCTTAAGACACACAGTTAAAAAATCCAAATACTAGTAGCTTCCTCCATATCATAATAATATGTAGTCACCGTCTGAAAACTCTATCCAAAAAAATATATAAGTAATAAAAAAAATAAAAATAAAAAAACTAACTAAAATAAGAAATTAAAAAAATCTATATTAAAAATAAAAGAAACACAAAAATCCTGAGATAGAATGAGTCTACTGGTATGTTTATCGTGGTTTTTCTTCTTTCTTGGAGTAAAGAAAGATGAGGCTTAAGCGTGTACACGATAGATGTTTAAAGATAAATCCATGATTTGTTCTACAGTATCGGGTAAATGTTGAGCCGAAAGTGACACTATTGAAATCATTAAGGAAATCGTGATTGGTCAACTGTTCTGGATATAAATAAAAGAAAAAGGGTAAGTCATATTTGATAATTGTTTATTGTACCATCAGAAGATTCAGGAATGTAATTAAAAATGCATCCAGTAGAGCACGTGATCTAATCCAAAAATCTCCAGAGAGCTTTTTGATTGGTAATTTATGTTGTTGCTTAATCAGAAAGTATAGCTATATATATTGTTTTTGTGATGGTTGGTGAAGGATATTGTTGAAGGTCGTTTGCTAATTATTATAAATATAAGGATCTGCTATTATATCAATTAGTTGTTATTGTAAAGGAAGTATATTATTTTAATTTTCGTTATGTTCAATATTTTCTACTTTCATATTATTTTCTAAATCAACTGCATTTCAACTTTTTTGTTTAGTTAAAATAAATTTTCTTAACAATTTTACTAATTCGTTATCACATCCAGTTTTTAATGCAATATTAATTGCAGTTTTTGCAGTTAAAAATGCTATTCCAAATTTATTTCTTTTAGAAATAATTTGTTGAATAATTTCGTTATTATAAAATTCTTGAAAATGCTTTTTTAAATTTTGAAAAGTGAAATTTACTGTATGTAGCATTGCTATATCAGATGATTCTACTACTGTAAGAACAGGTGAATTTTCAAGTATACTACTATTCAATTTCATTAAAATATCATCTTTGTACCATCTAATGGGAATAATACTAATATGAAATTTTGCTATATTAGAATAAAACATAACTCTCTAAAAATGGTGGCAAATTATTCCTTTTGTAATTGTTTCCAAATAAGTACAAATATATGATCTATCATTAAAAAGGCCTACTAGATTTTCTTTTTAAGAAATACCTTCTACTAGACAAATTTTTCAAGTTTCAACAATATTTGATATATCTATGTCATTTAATATAGCTTTTAACATTACTTGTAGTTTATCTACTATATCTTCTTTAAAATTATCATCTGGAGTATTAGAAAGTGAGTTCTATAATGAAAAACAATGTTTTTTGTTTATAAATGTTAATCAATACCAATAGTTTTATTTTTTAAAAAATAATACATACATCAAATGAACAAAATATTAGTTGCCCTTCATAAGTAAATGATTGTGAAATTTGAAATCGTTGTGAAGATAATATAAAAGGAGTTAAAAATTAAACAATAACTGTATTAACATCTGAAAAAAAATTGAGAAGAAAGATGTGAAAGTCCAACTGTTGTATATTTTGCTTTAAGATCTGTTAATTAACAATATTTAATTTTTTCTTTATGTCTCTTATTTATAGTTTCTTTTATCTCACAAAGTGTACTTGTACTATTTAAAGATTTTTTAATAATTGCATTAAAACTTCTTTACAGAAACCTTGAATTTTTAAACAATACCGAATTGATATAATAATGATGTTAAATAAATATCGTGGTGATATCGATTTGCAAATGATATCATTATGATATCGCAATGATATCATTTCAATATTAATTCAATATATCGAAATGATATCGTAAAGATATTTGTTTGAAAAAAATATCAGATCGATATCATTTCGATATTGTTATAACAACAATGAATTTTTTGAAAAATGGGAAGTAAATACGATATTAATATGATATCGTTCCAACATTAATTCAATATCAATATGATATCGTAAAGATATCACTTTATAATTATCTAGTCGACATCATAACGATATTGACGAAACATCAAATCGATATCATTTCGATATTGTTATAACAATAATGAAAAATAGAAAGTAAATACGATATTAATATGATATCGTTCTAACATTAATTCAATATCAATATGATATCGTAAAGATATCACTTTATAATTATCTAATCGATATTGACAAATAACGAAACGATATCATTTTGATATTGTTATAACAATAATGATTTTTTTTTAATAAATGCAATATCAATATAATATTATTTTAATATTAATTCAGTATCAAAATAATATCAAAATGATATTATCTATAAAAATATCAAATCAATCAAATATCATTAAATTCAATTTTATAATATTTTAATAATTTGTAATCTAATTTAAAAGTTAATTTCAATAGATTTAAGTTACNTTTTTTTAAAAATAAAAATTTAAATTAAGGAAGTTACATATATTACATAATATTCAGTTTAACTATATAAACTTACTCCCCCCTCCCCTTGTCAGATTTAATAACCAATCAAATTATAATATTTATAAATTATATATTTTATTAAGTGTAATGTTATATTTTATTATTTTATAAACTTTTTTAATTTAATTTTTATTTATTTATTTATTTTTTTTATTCTAAATTTTTATTATTAAAATTATGATTCATTTAATTTAACTGTATTTATTAAAGAATATTAAAGAATTATAGAAGGGTTGATTGGCGAATAATTAAATTTATTCATATTTTAGATAAAGAATTGAAATTTAACTTAATTGCTTTTTTTATTATTACTTTTGCATTATTTTAATTGTTAAATAGAAAATTTAATTTATAGATTAATTCTGAATTGAATACGTATTTTACAATAAATTATATAAACGATAAAAAATGTGAAACATAGTTGACTGAAACATTTCTTAATAGTTTAAACCTGAAACTAAAATTAGTTAGTCTAGTTAGTCAACATGTACATCCCATCACATGCAGCACATATGAATTCTTTCATTTGATATAACTGGTCAAATATATCATTATACTGGATATTAATATACACCATAAATGGAATTTAATTCGATCTTAATTTACGCCATTTTAGAATAGTATCGAACAATTAGACAAATGATTGATAACAAACTTATAAAATTAACTATATATGAAATTCGTATTGTCTTCAGTTGATATAGCGATATTTAATATACTGATATTCATATACCGATATACTAATATAGGTATAATTGCAATATAATTAAGGAATATGACTTAAAATATTACACATATTGGCTTATTATCGGAATTTGACCAAAATTAAGGCCCCAAATTACTATTAAAATTGCATGTGACCATCGTAAATGTTACACAACAATCATATGTCAAGCGTTAGACTCTCTCACCGAAAAACCCTAAAAAAAAAAATTTAATAGTAACTATCGCGTCAAACCAATCTCCTCCCTACGAAACCAATCTTCTTCAAAGGTAAATTATGTTGAGTGTACTATTCTATTTCTATATACAAAAAAATATTTTTTAACTTTATTTAAACTACATTTAGTAATTCAAAAGTAGTTTGCTTGTAAAATTTTTGTTATTTGTAAATTTCGCGTATTAATTTGAATAAAGTTTACAACAGTGTTTAATATTTTTAATTAATAAAGTGTTTTTTTTTATATTTTAGGTATGGTAATATGAATCAAGCTGTAGTTTCTACCGGTGCTCTTCCACCTTCAACAACAACTCAAATAACAACTC